AGAGACAATCACTTCTGAGCCAGAAACAGCCTGTCAGTCAATGTAATTAACGCGCACTACGTAATTCGTTAGCCTTGTTTATGGCTACAAATATTTAGGTTTAATAAACATTTATGAAACTTGTCTCGGGGTTTATAGACTGGGCAAGTTCAGAATTCCAAATATAATGGACGCTGTCTAATCCGACACCTGGTGGTACTCAACATATTTGTCAGATTTACCTGTCTTATCTGACATCCTGTGGACATAACATATTTGTCAGATTAACCTGTCTTATCTGACACCCTGTGTACACGATATATTGGTCAGAATAAACTCTCTAAACTGACACTCTGTGAAACATATTGGTCAGATTAACCTGTCTAAACTGACACCATACACAAATTAATTCAACATTTTGGTCAGATAAGGTGGAATGTCAGAATACACAGGTCATGGCTGTCAGTTTCCATCAAAACGGAAACATTTCACTGCATTGGATTTGACAAGACCTTAGAATACTCTGGGTCAAATTTGATTTCAAACTTTGTTTAGAATTATCCTAGACACTGCACCGAAATCCAAAGGTTAATAAATATTATACGTGCACTTCGGGATTTCCCTAAAAGGACATTTTCTTTTTGAAATTTGGTTGTTGAGACAGAAACCTGATAACAAATCGATCAAGCCATCCTCTTAAACCAATTTCCTATTTATCAAATTCCGTTGTATTGGGACGAAATCAAGATGGGTACTGATAACAAAGAAATGGATTACCGTTCTTATTGCACATGTATAATACAAATTACTTTGTTCACTGTAAAAAAATAAATTTACCTTTAGGATTCTTTTCCCCCAATGAACAATTTATCAATTTAATAAGATGTTAGTGTCAGTGAAGCTATACCATCAGAATTTAATTTGTGAAGATAAAAAAAATAACCTTAAACTTGAAAACAGCTGTTTTACCATTTAACACACTTTGTTCTAGAGTTCTAGATTTCTCATCCAGTTTTCCAGGCTATAGACATTTTTCAATTTTAAAATGTTTTTATATTCTTCCAGCAAGGTTAAACCGATACTTTATAAACAAGAGCTTGATCCATAAAACATATGGTACATGTGATAGAAAATCAGCTCAGGGGGAAAAAAGGCACATTCGAGGTACACTTTTTGGGGTACCTATAAGGTATGCCTTAGGTACATTTTTGGTAACAAAGAAAAAGAGGACAAAATAGGAGGGGTTAAAACCTGTTAAATATATAGGTACATTTGATGCACATTTTAGGCACATTTAAGGCATACCTATAAAATGTACCTCAATCATACCTCTGACTGAGGCATGCCTGAAATGTGCCTTGATACGAGGTACAGTAAAGTACATTACTGATGGTTACACATTTGTTATAAATTAATTACAATGACTATTTATTTTCTAAAGAATTCTACCTTTTTTTTGATTTTTTTTTTCAGGATTAAAGTGGGATCAATTTCTTTAAAATAGAATTTGAAAGCATGATTTACTTAAATTAGATGATGATTGATTTGCATAACAACCAAATGTCCTTGCCCCTTGCTTTCAACAATGACAGCTAGCTGTCAAAAAGAAAGTAATTTTAATCCAAATTGAAGGAGCTTGTACTTCTTTTAAACTGACTTGGATTATGGTCATGGCTAGTGATTTTTTTTCGCAGGTAAGTGAAAAAACTACAAACATTTTAAGTTGACCATGAGCATTGAACTCTGAACCATTGAACCCCTTAATAAAACTCATGGCCTCTTATTATGGTCACATGCGATGAACATTATGTACCTATTTTCAAACATCCCGATGACTTACAAAGACTGACATGCAGGGTACATATTTGTCTGCCGCTGCAAACATTAGGCTCAATGATTGGAAGATTGGAAGATAATATATGACAAAACATTGTTGCAGTTAATTGCTGTTTGTTTTTCATTGGTCATGTAGGTCAAGTATTAGTTCTGTTAATGTTTCATGCCTGATCAGTCTTAAAAACAGTCAAACTATTTCCCCTCAGAGTAGGGACCCGCCAGACAAACTGTTTCCCCCCTGTCGGCTTGGCCTGTGGCCTCAGGAACAGGTTCATCAGCTGGTCGATCGCAATTCCTTGGGAAAATAGTTTGACTGAAAAGGCATGAAAAAAATGTATACTATCTATGATATACAAAGGTAAGGCCCACAATATTACCATCTACGAAATACAGAGGTGGGACCCACAATATTACTATTTACTATATACAGAGGTGGGGCCCACAATATTAATATTTACTATATACAGAGGTGGGGCCCACAATATTACCATCTACTATATACAGAGGTGGGTCCCACACTATAACCATCTATTATATACAGAGGTGGGGCCCACACTATTACAATCTACTGTATACAGAGGTGGGGCCCACAATATTTCCATCTACTATATACAGAGCTGGGGCCGACAATGTCAAACCTTGTGAAACCCGATGTTGCGGAAGTGGTCCCTAAAGTCAATTTAGTTACACACTGAGGCCTAGATGTTCCTCACTGATGAATACCAAGACGGAATTTAAGACTTAAAGTCACTTTAATACCCTGCCCGTCAAACTTTCCTTCTGCAATGCGGACCGGTAATTATACTGTGTACACACACTACCAGTTAAGCCTGCGACGTACACAATACATACCAATTTCACGCGAGTGTAAGAGTGTCTAAAACTATTCCCTAAACATGAATATTTAATGCGGATATGTGCTCCTCCAATAAATTTGATTATGCAACACTAAAGGCCGTTAATAATCTAAAGACTTGATATAAAGAAAAAAAATGGGAGGAAAAAATGCCACATCTATCCAAATTTGGCTGTCCTGTCTTGACACCTGTAATGGAACAATTTCTTGTGTTTGTTTATCCCAGATGATACCACGCGGGCGATACATGCGATGCGGCGTTGTTTTGTGGTGTAATTATTGGGTATATGTAATGCAGTGTTATTGGGCACAGGGGGAGTCAATAATCTCGAAACAAAAATTTCAAAACACACCAACAAATGTATATTTTGACAGATAGTGTAGAGAGTCTTGCCAACATTTATACCTCCTGCTGGGAAATTATTTATTTAATTCAAAGTTTAAAACTGTTTTTCATTTCCTAAAAGCAGGATGACGCCAAGTACATTTGCATTTTTATTTTACACACACAAACAAAAAACTTTAACGAGCCCTGGAACAAATAAAAACATCTAGTGGTTCCTTTTGGTACGGGAGCACTCTCGGGGCCATTATTAGCTTTGGTAAATAACTACCGCAGAAAATGAATAAAAGAGTTTGAATTCATCTATTAAGGCTAATAAGGTGCAAGTAGTTTTTTTTTTTACCGGAAGTTTGTTAATGTAGCTAATTAAGCTACACAGCTTTTTAAGTGAGAAAAACCCTTGCACAGAGTCATAATTAAATCTTGCATAATTAAGTCAAAGTCTTGCTTTTAAATGCTCTAAGGACGACTCATCTGACTTAAGTTGATGAAAAATATTTACAATTTCTTCACATTAAATAATTATCAAAATGCATTCACTTTTCAATTTAGAATTGGAATAAAATTGGATTTTTTTTTATCACAAAGTCAGGCTCTTAAGTGGTATAACTACACCATGAAATGGTGATGTCACAGGGAACAGAAATTCACACCCCATATCCACAGTTACGGCAAAAATGATCCTGTTTTCCTTCAATATTTGTCGTCTAATAATCACCAAACGTAAAATTTTACATGATTTAAATGAGCATATGATAGAAAGAATCTGAAAAACTCATCTTCATTTTATCTGAATTATAAAAAAATTCTCTAAAGCTTGTTTCATAAAAAACAAGGCAATTAGAGTATTAATTGCCAGGCAATACATAGTCCCCTACAGGTAATGCTTTCTATATTTAACAATCAGTACACTTAGGTCAGGATGTACCTACTGTTCAAAGCATAGGTCACAGTGAGGTCATAGTGACCTACTTCTTGCACTCGCCATCCCAAGATGTCCCTGTGCACCAAATCTGGTTACTCCAGGTGAAATAGTATAGAAGATATGCCCAGGACAAACATTTTCAAAAGTTAAAGGTCATTGGTCAGTGACCTAATTCTTGCACTCTGCCATCCAAAGATGTCCTAATAAAAGGTCAAGTCATATGTCTCATAGTGACCAACTTCTTGCATTAGCCATCCCAAGATGTCCTTGTACACCAAATCTGGTTACTCCAGGTGAAATAGTACAGAAGATATGCTCCAGACAAACATTTTAAAAAGTAAAGCGCTTTACAATATACAATTTTATACTGTCAATACAATTAGCAGATATATTAATCAATACAATATTGAGGAATTCGCAGGAGCTGCCTCATCAGGTGCTAACTACTAGTCCTATGCCACCTGGCTAATATCTCCCTATGAGTGTATGCCTGTGTGTGTGCTGGAGATGTATTGTGTTCTGTTTGTAGTGGGACCGTGCTTCCAACGGTATCATTTATAGTGCCACCTCACTTGAATGCTACAGCACAGATACCGCAACACCCATCCCAGACCATTTCATACTCCACCTGGGTTGCTGGAGTTGTGTGGGCAGGAGAAAAACACTTTCTCTAATATTCCATGCATACAGCGACTTCGGGGATCGAACCCCAGCCACCTGCTTGGAAGGCCGAGTGTTAACTACTCGACGAATCCGCCCATGTTAACTTTCACCTTTTTTGCTTTCCATTACTTAATGAGAGCAAATTCATTATAACAGCAAACTTCCTTATAAACAACATCGGCATTTGGATTTTACCATCACACAGCGAAAGTTTGTCGGGGTGAAATTTTCTCATTTTACGTGAAACATTACCCTTTATATATTGGTCGCCAAACCCCTTTATAAGGCCAACATTTTGCTGGACAAATGATGACAGTATAATAAGGTTTTTTACCTGTACTCATCATGCAGTGTCTTACCTGGAAATGGACATGTGGTATGTGGGTGTAGTGTCTTACCTGGAAATGTAGATGGGGTATATATCGTTGTGCTATGTTTGGAGATGAAATCGTATGATGCTACGAAGCCCTTTTGATGGTTGACGTCGTCCGATGAAAAGATGACAAACATGTACGGCCCTTTGGAGGTAACTACACGGCTCTCCGACCCCCCTGTCCCGCAGTACTGGCGAATCGTTGGACGTGTGCGATCTAGACCATCATGCACCTCTATATAATCAGCAGCTTGGTCACATCTGCAAAAAAACCAGAAAAGTTTCAAAACGTTTGTTTACCCTACATTTTTAATAAATTTCTCAACAAAAGTAGCACTGGGGCACCCAGAGAATGAAATGTCTTTGTCAATATCTGTGTAACTGTCATTAATTTGACTATCGCATATATTTGCAATTAATTTATCATATTCAGAAGAAGTTAAATTCCCAAAAGATACATCATCTACTACTTACTATACAAGCTTGTTTTAAGGTAATAGGATTGTGTCATCATTTCTCAGAAGAATTTCTTCAAATTTCGTAGTTATATTGCTTTCTGCCACAAAATAAGTATAGGTTGTCAGAATTTTAAGGATTTTAAATGGAAATTAATGTAAAAAGGAGTGAATTTTGAAAAAAAAATGAAACACACATAATTTTGGAAAATAATGTCACTAAAAATGATACTGCCATAGATTAGTATTGCATTAATGTATATCAATTTAATTAATGCTAAAATTGTGTAAAATTAATTATCCTTAAACGATTAAAAATTTACACTTTATGATAAAACCGTATACACATAGTAATTGCATGTAAGAGTTGTCTTTCTTGAAAAACTTCACAGTAGTGAAATAGGTAGCCGGTTTCCTGAAGTACAGAAAAATGAACACATGTGACTCATTGATAAAAAAACAACTTAATTAATGCCTGAATTGATTTGAAATACTTTAATATTGAAACAACAGACTGTTCTGTCAATAATAAACATACAATATCCATCAGTTTAATTTTAAACATTAGAATATGTGGAAATTGTGATACCGTCTCCCTATATTGGATTTGGATTTTCAACTAGGGATGTACTTCCTAATTCCGTTTATCAATACACTCCTATGACCTTAAGTAATTACTGCAAGATATTTGAATTCTTAATATATTAAAAACAGATACTGACTCCCATGAGTGACAGCATATCCAAGCCAATTAATAAACTGTATAACATTCAGTTTGAAACATCAATGATTTAATGCATTGAGAAGGGGCTGTACAGGTAAGGAAATATTTGATAATTGTATTTATATATAGTTTGAAGCGTTAGTTACTTCAAAGTTAAGTACTGGACTAATCTATTGTAAATAATAGTGGCCTTGACATATTTGACAAACCACATATTTTTAAAACAAAAACTCATAACAGTGACCTTGACCTTTTGCAAATCATTGGATCAAAATCAACATCATATTTTATTTCATCTTCTTTTTCTAGAGCAAGCAACCTACGTATCAAGTTCGAGGTTTTAAATTCTGAAAATTAGCACATCCATGGACAAATCTCTCTGTCAAGTTTTCTTTTCTCTTGAACGATATTAATAAGCTCAGTAAGCTGGTTTAAGCAACTAACTTAAGTTTCCCCATGAAAACGGCCTTAGGAATACGGATTACAATTTTGGACAACTAATTTAAGGGAACATTATGTTGCTTCTAATTTCTTTAAGCTTCACTGAGTCAAATAAATGTTTGCATATTTATTGAATCCTTTCAGCCAATTATGAATTATAATAATTAAATTTTCCAAATAATAAAGATACTTTGATCCAATAATTTCAACAAATGATCAGAGTTAAATTTGAACCAAACAAGGTGAAAAAAATCAGGTATTCCATGACAGAATTTATTAGAAAGGAGGGAGTTTTATATCCGGACGAAATAATTCGCAATCCTAGTGGGCGAGAATTTCATTAAGATCAAGCCCAGTGTTCATTACATTATTTAGATCACACCTGTTCTGCATCACGACACAATTACATTGGTTTCGAGGAACAAATTGTTGATATTTATATAACTGAAATGTAATTAACAACTCAAATAGTGCTATCTGATGCCAGCTCCGTGTAGAGGTCTGTAATCTAATTGTCCAGGTGATAACCAACAGGCCGTCTTGCAACCAGGGACAATGTCGTTGTGTCTGTTTTTTTTTCTTCTTCTCAGTGATGCATAAGTCTATCAAATACTTTACAACGCAGAACTGCAGTCGGACGAAACGGTGTGTGGATGTTTGCCGATGTAGTTAGAACGTACCGTCAACATGTTAACGAATAAACTGATGAGTTTGCTACCGCTACTCGTAAAGATCTGTTTCTGCAACATGTACAGTAAATTCTGCTTTAGCTGTTCCCTGTAACATAATATTACTGCTTCTATCTACTTGATAAGTTACAAATCGGATCAACTTTGACAGCGAAATTGCCTCGACTAAAACCAGAGCTCAAAACAAACAGAACCATCGTTATTAGCCGAAAAAGCTGAATTTATCGGTGCACAATTTAGATCTCCATTCAAGGAGTGATATTTTAGCATACAGTGTCACTGTGAAGCAAATATCTGATCAAATTAATCTGATATGGATTTCAAACGTGGCCTTTTTGGCTCTCACTCTTGCCTTGGGCTCATGTTATTTCACAGGACGACCTCATTGCAATTTCAGGAAAGATTCCTAGGGCTTCTGATTGTGGTCTAATTATCTCCTAAGAGTAGCTATCTTTTCAAAGTTTAAATATAATCTTATCGTCTCCATATCAAACGTCTTAACATGCTACTGCTGTTGCTGAGATTGACCACAGCAATGTACCTAATGACCCTTCCGTTCTGTTGGGCACATCAGTTTATCATTACCAAATTTGGATGACTGACCAGTCACGTGACTAGTCTGATACAGTCTGCTGTTGCTGAGATTGACCACAGCAATGTACCTAATGACCCTTCCGTTCTGTTGGGCACATCAGTTTATCATTACCAAATTTGGATGACTGACCAGTCACGTGACTAGTCTGATACAGTCTGCTGTTGCTGAGATTGACCACAGCAATGTACCTAATGACCCTTCCGTTCTGTTGGGCACATCAGTTTATCATTACCAAATTTGGATGACTGACCAGTCACGTGACTAGTCTGATACAGTCTGCTGTTGCTGAGATTGACCACAGCAATGTACCTAATGACCCTTCCGTTCTGTTGGGCACATCAGTTTATCATTACCAAATTTGGATGACTGACCAGTCACGTGACTAGTCTGATACAGTCTGCTGTTGCTGAGAATGATCAGCAATGTACCTAATGACCCTTCCTTTCCGTTGGGCACATCAGTTTACCATTACCTTATTTGGATGTCTGACCATGCAGTCACGTGTCTAGTCTGATACAGTCTCTGAGAATGACCAGTCATCTCTCTGATCCTCCAGCTTCACTGGGCATATCAATTTACCTTTACCTAAACAGGTCCATATTGCCTATAGTCATCTCAGTTGACCCCTTAAACAAACTCAAAATGGTTCAAGCCATGATGAACCCCTCGAAGGTGGAATGACCCTTACACCAGGGGTCAATGTTTAGTTAGTCTACCTGAGTCTCTGTGTACAAACAACACTTATACCCATAAGTTTCAATTTGAACGGGTCTTTAGCAGTAAACAAACAAGTATACTTGAGTTTATCAGGGTTTATTTGACGACCCCAAAATAACTGTAAGACTAATATTATAATTTAAAAGTTGGGTTATTGCTATACCAAACCCGAACGTGCATAGTAGAAGGCTTCTGATTGGTTGTTTTGTCATTACTTTCGATATTCCCGGCAGTGTACCCTAGTAATGACCAAAGGTGTGCGAGAGAATTTCAAATCGAAAAGAAGTCACAAAAATGGCGGACGTGTTGATTAAATTGAAGCGATGAATATGATGGTAAACATTTATCCTCCAGCGTTACCTACGATGATAATAAAGGTTTTGAAGGGTTTGACATGGTTGATGTGGAAATACTTCGGTGTAACATAATATGTAACTTTCCAATGAACGGCTTTGTGTCCTACGCAAATAGGAAAATATCGGCGGACCGAGGCGCACATGTTGTCTGCAGGTGAGGCAGAATTGGACATTGACATTGATATGTTTTGAGTCGATTTGTTTCTTCAATTTTTTTTTGATGATTTAATCATAAACTGGACTCTGAATACGGCTTGGAACTCAACATGTCAGAATCTCCTCAACGTGTCACAGCGACACTATTGTGATTTCAGGGTAGGGTTTGTTGTGTTTAGAACCACGAGTGTCTAATCAGTAATCACAAGTTGTTGCTAAAATTGAACCATACCTGTGGTCTAATTAACCAATTGTCATTTTATAATTGCGTTGTTGTTTTTATCAGTATTGTAAAATTTTAGAGGTGTTACACGACCTAAATCTACCTGTTGATGCAGATTTTAAAGAAACAACACCGACACAAGTAAATGTTTATTTAACTTTCGGTTTTTTTCCTCCAAACAACTTCACATTTTTCACCTGCAAAAAGATAGGAGTCCAACAATTGGTTATATTCAAAACGTCCTTTTTTAAGGGGGGGCTTAATGGCAGGCACCCACCCTGTTCCCAGGACATTTACCAAAGTGGAGAGGGGGCTTATTTGCAAGAGGGGGCTTATTGGCGGTAAAATACGGTATGTTTTTTCCATGCTGAAGGTGTTTATACTGTGATTTGGTGACACAAATGATACAAATAAACAAAATGTTTCACAAATTTTATATGAATTGTAAATTCAGCTATATATTTTCTATAACAAATCTGCTAATTATGCTAGACTTAACAAATTTTCTAGAATAAATCTGGAAATTGTTATGTGCTATTTTGTCTCCCCTTATCAGGACCTCATCTTCGAATCACGACAGGAAATCTTCCACTCTAGAGAGCGGTTACTATGGATTGACACCCCGTGGTTAGTAGGCCTAAATTGATCAATTGATTGGTACACTTGTTATAAATTGATGCCTGGGTAGGGGCCGTGGATATATCCACGGCCCCTACCCAGGCATCAATTTATAACAGAAAAAACTTTAAGGTAGCTTATAGATTCAAAATCATTTCATCATCCGACCATAGTTTAAATTGCAAAGCAAGATTTACTTCCTTTCCCAGACAGTTCAATTCTGCTTATAATCAGGTTTAAAATTTAGACCATTTATCCAGTTGTCTGTTGCACGTTTTAGTTATTGT